TCCTCTATGCTCGATTGAAGACCTATAGGTCCTCTATGCTCGATAGAAGACCTATAGCTCCTCTATGCTCGATAGAAGACCTATAGGACCTCTATGGATAATAGAAGACCTTAAGATCCTCTATGGCCAACAGAAGACCTATAGTTCCTCTATAGACAATAGAAGACCTATGGGTCCTCTATGGACAATAGAAGACCTATAGGTCCTCTATAGATAATCGTTTCCCGCAGCTCTTATATGGACAATAGAAGCCCTCAAGATCTTCTATGGACAATAGAAGCCCACAAGGTCTTCTTTGGACAATAGCAGCTCTCAAGGTCTTCTGTCGAAAATAGAAACTTTCAAGGTCTTTTAAGGACAATAGAAAGTTTCAAGGTCCTCTATGGACAATGGAAGACCCATAGGACCTCTATAGTGAAGATAAGACCTCAAGATCCTCTATAGACAATAGAAACCCCTAAGGACTTCTATGGACAATAGAAGACCTATAGGTCATCTATGGATAATAGAAGACCTTTAAGTCGTCTATGGACAATATAAGACCTATAAATCTTCTATGGACAATAGAAGAGCTATAGTTTCTCTATAGACAATAGGAGACCTATAGGTCTTCTATAGCTCAATAGAAAACCTCTAGGTCCTCTATAGGCAATAGACGACTTAACAATCCTTTATGGACAATAGAAGCCTCCATGGCTCGAAGAAATTGATGGCCCCGCGTCTTCTCTTGATAATGGAAGATCTAGATGTAATATTTTTGCCAGTGTACTAGGCGTCTCTACTTCATAGTACGGATGATAACAAGAAAAAATGTGAACATTATTTCTGCCCGACTGTCTGATATGCCATGAATATTGATTAGCGTGTCTAGATTATTTAACAACTCTAATGTGTAGAAAACAACAACAACAAAACAAAGCAGAACAATGCACTTCAGTCTGAGTTGTAAACAATGGCATTGTAAGAAAACTCACCATTACACCCAGACATGTACGATAGAACATTTAATTTGGAATTATGGAATCTCACAGAGTGAAATACTCGAATCCGGGTATAATTGAAATGCCTTGAATTACTTCAAAGGCTAAATATCGAAGCTTTAATGAGTCTTGGCTACTGGTTCAAAAAATATATTTTTCAAAACCAATCCTTCAAGTGTCTAGTTCAGAGGAGGTAAAACTCAAACTCTTTCGTCGAAACAAATTTGATTTTATGCCTGCTGTGGCCTTTTGAAACTGAAACAGGTGCTGTTGTTACAATTTAAAATAATCCAATCTAAACATAGCTCTCTTCTATTTACAAAATTTATTTTTTCTGATATCAAAAACATTTTTAATTCCTATCGATCTGTCTTCCATTGAATATTTTTGTTATTTTTATTATCAGACACGTTTAAATGGCTGTCCGCCATTTTTTGCATTATTTCTACATCATTGCCAGGCAGCAGTAACTGCCATAGTTTCACTCTTTCCAATTTATCTACAAATAGTTGCCATGACAACTTAAGCGCCACTTATCACATTTGTCTCGTCGATTAAAAGCTTTAATTAATTTGCGTTTAGAAATTGAAACCCCCCTCGATTCAGCGTTGGAGAAATATTTCGTTCTTTTTTCTTGAATTGGAATTTCAATTTGGTTGTCTGGGTAATGCCACAAAAAAAAAAAAAATACTTAATCTGCTCAAGAAAAGAATTTCAACGGTAAACAACATGGTGGCGATTTGAAAGAGCAAGGCTTAAAAATCAGCAGCTTGTTAAAAACGGATCAAACTATGAGGATTGCAAATGGTGGTGGTGGTAGTACAGTGGTGTAAGGCAGCAAGAGAGCTATATAAATGGGTCTTTGGGACTTCTATAGGCAATAGAAGACCTATGGGTCCTCTATAGGCAATGAAAGTCCTATATGTCCTCTATAAACAATAGAATACCTATATATCCTCTATAGGCAATAGAAGACCTATAGGTCCTTCATAGGCGATAGAAGAGAAGTCATTTATGCGCCATAGGAGGCCTATAGCTCCTCTGTGGACAATAGAAGATCTATAGGTCCTCTATTGGCAATAGAAGACCTATAAGTCTTCTATTGACAAGGGAAGACCTCTAGGTCCGCTATAGACAATAGAAGACCTATATGTACTCTGTAGGCAATAGAAGACCTATAGATTCTCTATAGACAATAGAAGACCTGTAGGACGTCTATAGGCAACAGAAGGCCTATAGGTCCTCTATAGGTAATAGAAGACCTATAGGTGCACTATAGGCAAAGGAAAACCTATAGGTCCTCTATGGACATCAGCAGCCCTCAATGTCTTCTATAGGCAATAGAAGACCTATAGGCAATAAAAGAGTTATAGGTCCTCTGTAGGCAATAGAAGACCTATAGGTCCTCTATAGACAAAAGAAACCCTATAGGTCCTCTATAGGCAATATAAGACTTATGGAAACTCTGTAGACAATAGAAGACCTATAGGTCCTCTGTAGGCAATATATGACCTAAAGCTCCTCTGTAGGCAATATATGGCCTATAGGTCCTCTATATGCAATAGAAGATTTATAGGTCCTCTATAGGCAATATTGTTCTTTCTAGGCAATAGAAGGCCTATAGGTCCTCTTTGGACAATAGAAAATCTATATAATCCAATAAGAGACCTTAAGGTCTTTTATGGACAATAGAATAGACAATAGAAGACCTATAGATCCTCTATATCCAATAGGAGATCTCAAAGACTTTTATGTACAGTAGAAGTCCTCATGGTGCTTTATGGAAAATAAAAGCCCTCAGGGTCTTCTATGGACAATAGATGCCCTCAAGGTCTTCTATGGACAATAGAAGCCCTCAAGGTCTTCTATGAACAATAGAAGACCTCATGGTCTTCTATGAACAATAGAAGACCTCATGGTCTTCTATGAACAATAGAAGACCTCAAGATCTTCTATGGACATTAGAAGCCCTCAAGGTCTTCTATGGACAATAGAAGCCCTCAAGGTCTTCTATCGACAATAGAAGTCCTCAAGTTCCTCTATGGACAATAGAAGCCCTCAAGGTCTTCTATGGACAATAGAAGACCTCAAGGTCTTCTATGGACAATAGAAGACCTCAAGGTCTTCTATGGACAATAGAAGACCTCAAGGTCTTCTATGGACAATAGAAGACCTCAAGGTCTTCTATGGACAATAGAAGCCCTCAAGGTCTTCTATGGACAATAGAAGCCCTCAAGGTCTTCTATGGACAATAGAAGCCCTCAAGGTCTTCTATGGACAATAGAAGCCCTGAAGGGGTTCTATGGACAATAGAAGCCCTCAAGGTCTTCTATGGACAATAGAAGCCCTCAAGGTCTTCTATGGACAATAGAAGCCCTCAAGGTCTTCCATGGACAATAGAAGCCCTCAAGGTCTTCTATGGACAATAGAAGCCCTCAAGGTCTTCTATGGACAATAGAGGACCTCAATATCTTCTATGGACAATAGAAGTCCTCAAGTTCTTCTATGGACAATAGAAGCCCTCAAGGTCTTTTATGTACAGTAGAAGCCCTAATGGTGCTTTATGGAAAATAAAATGCCTCATGGTGCTTTATGGAAAATAAAAGCCCTCAAGGTCTTCTATGAACAATAGAAGCCCTGAAGGTCTTCTATGGACAATAGAAGCCTCAAGGTCTTCTAGGGATAATAGAAGCCATGAAGGTCTTTTATGGACAATAGGAGCCCTCAAGGTCTTCTATGGACAATAGAAGGCCTCAAGGTCTTCTACGGATAATAGAAGCCATCAAAGACTTCTATGGACAATAGAAGCCCTCAAGGTCTTCTATGGACATAAGAAGCCCTCAAGGTCTCCTATGGACATAAGAAGCCCTCAAGGTCTTGTATGGACAATAGAAGCCCTCAAGGTCATCTATGGACAATAGAAGCCCTCAAGGTATTTTGTGGACAATGAAGAACTATGGGTCCTCTATAGGCAATTGAAGGCCTATGGGTCCTCTATAGACAATAGAAGACCTATGGGTTACCTATGGACAATAGAAGACCTTTAAGTCTATACTACTCTATAGACATTACGTGTTTCAGTTTTTTAAGAGGGTACATCTTAACGATTTCTTGTTTATAACCACAGTACGAGCAGGCAGATTTTTCATATATCTTTCCGTTGCAAATCTGCATGCTTTGACTTCTGTGTGCACTTTCTACACCATGACAAGAAACCAGAAATAAATACCGACAAAATCTTTGAATATTTACAGTTTCAATCTGTCTTGGTATTGGATCTTTAGACCTGTTTGACGATCATCGTTGGATGACTGGTTGAAATCTTTTGTAAAAACTGAACGTCCTTGACCTGAACAGTCATTTCAACTAGGATAGTCTTCCTATTAATTTTAAAAATTAAAAAAAAACGTTCCTCATGGTCAAGTTTTAAGAAAAGGCAAGCATGCAGATTTTACTCCTCCACATTTCCTCCCCCCTCTAATTTGGATCATTGTTCATGTTTGAGTATTACGAGCAGTCCTAAGACACAAAGAAGATCTTTGATGGTGAAGATGCATATTATACAGTACATATCATACGTCATTAATCAAGTTTTACGATTCGCAAATCATTTGGATCATAAAATCAGAAATTTATTGCAATTAATAATAATAATTAGTATTTAACAATTTTATGGAGATTTCGGAAAATTATTAAAAAACCCACGTTGATAGAACCCTTTGGTCCTTCCAAAAAATCAAGTTCAAGTTTTTGCAGCCTGTTGCGTCTTTCAGCATGTTTTTTTAAAAATCCCCATTTATGGAGCCTTTTCCAAGAATCCAATTTAGTCGCACTTTCTGTAACCCCCCAAAACTGCAAAAAAAATTTAATCTTTATGCCTACTGGAATCCTACAAAAACTCTATATATAGCCCCTTAAAAAGTCAACTCTATAGCAGCTATTTGCCATAAATTATGCAAACCTATTCTAACTATTAAGTCCTTTTTTAAATTACCTAATATTTTTTTCTTGTATTTTCAGCTCAAAGGACTCCCAGCACCCCCCATCCCTGCATTCCAACAAATAAAAATCTCGAAAACTAACTATGTGTACCAGATAGTGTTGGGCTGTCAACAGAAAAACTTTCTTCCAACTTCCGCACACAATATTATCGCACTTTGAAACTCTGCCATAGCGCTCTCACCCCACCCCCTAACAGTAGTCCTTCCTCCCACCACATTGCGGGTAGTCAACTCCGCGCCATGAATCGCTCAACCCACGGCGGCGGCAGCATCAAATCATCATCGTCGTCCAACTCAACGATGACCACCACAATGCGTCTCAGCAAATCCTTTCAAAGTAAAATGGACAAAATGTCCGAACGTCTGTATGACGTTGTCAAAAGTGGTTTTATGATCAAACGGGCCCAAAACAAGAAACGCTTCACACCGGTCAACTATAAGCAACGCTGGTTCGAGTTGACCAAACGGACGCTGTCATATTTCGATGTGGAAAATGTTGAGGTAAGTTTGATGTTAACAAAATTTATGTAGGGAAGGAACAGGGAGTTCGTATTTTATAATTAAATGTGGATCTAATTTCGCTTAACTTAAGGGAGGTGGTTCTATACTGTAGAACCAGAATGCCAGCTATAAAAAGACCTTTGGTCTTCCATAAGAAGATAATTTAGTCTATTCTATGAGAAGAGCTTTTTTGGTCTTCATCTATGAGAAGACCTTCTTGACTTCGTCTATGCGAAGACCTTCTGGCCTCCTTCTATGAGAATAATTTCTGGTCTTCTAAAAGAAGACCTTCGGGTCTTCTACGAGAAGACCTCCCGGGAAGACCTCTGCGTTTTCTACGAGAAGACCTCCAGGTCTTCTATGAGAAGACACAGAGGTCTTCTATGAGAAGACACAGAGGTTTTCTATGAGAAGACACAGAGGACTTCTATGAGAAGACACAGAGGACTTCTATGAGAAGACCTCCGGGACTTCTATGAGAAGACCTCCGGGTCTTCTATGAGGAGACCTCCGAGTCTTCTATGAGGAGACCTCCGAGTCTTCTATGAGAAAACCTCCGGGTCTTCCACGAGAAGACCTACGTATCTGCTAAGAGAAGACCTCTGGGTCTTCTATGAGAAGACTTTCTGATCTTCTTCTAAAAGAAGATCTCCGGGTCTTCTACGAGAAGACCTCCCGGGAAAACTCTGGGTCTTCTACCTCCGGGTGTACTGTGAGAAGACTTCTGGTCTTCTATGAGAAGGCCTCCGAGTCTTCTATGAGGAGACCTCCGAGTCTTCTATGAGAAAACCTACGGGTCTTCCAGGAGAAGACCTACGTATCAGCTAAGAGAAGACCTCTGGGTCTTCTATGGGAAGACCTCTGGGTCTTCTATGAGAAGACTTTCTGATCTTCTTCTAAAAGAAGATCTCCGGGTCTTCTACTTTGATATAGACCAACTTGTGCCAGTTAGGGACCAAGCTGTTGATATGGACCAGCTAGTGCCAGTTGGCGCCCAAGCTGTTGATATAGAATAGCTAGTGCCAGTTGGCGCCAGAGTTGTTGATATAGACTAGATGGTGTCAGTTGGTGCCCAAGCTGTTGATATAGACCAGCTGGTGCCAGTTGGGGCCCAAGCCCCAGCTAGTGCCAGTTGGCGCCCAAGCTGTTGATATAGACTTGCTGTTGACGTGAAAACTCTGGGTCTTCTACCTCCGGGTGTACTGTGAGGAGACATCCGGATCTTCTATGAGAAGACTTCTGGGTCTTCTATGAGAAGACCTTCTGGTCTTCTTCTAGAAGAAGGTCTTCTTCTATAAGAAGACCTTTTTTGGTTTTCTATGAGAAGACCTTCTGTTCTTCTTCTATAAGAAGACTTCTGTTCTTCTTCTATGAGAAGACCTTCTGTTCTTCTTCTATGAGAAGACCTTCTGGTCTTCTTCTATGAGAAGACCTCCTGTCTTCTATGAGAAGACCTTTTGTTTTTCTATGAGAAGACCTTCTCGTCTTCTATAAGGAGAACCTTCTGGCTTTCTATGCGAAGAACCTTCTGGTCTTCTATGAAAAGACCTTCTGGTCTTCTTCTATTAGAAGACCTTTTGGTCTTCTCTGAGAAAAACCTTCAGGTCTTTTCTGAGGAGACATTCTGATCCTCTATGAAAAGACCTGTTGGTTTTCTATAAGGAGACCTTCTGGTCTCCTATTAGAAGACCTGTATGTCTTCTATTCTTGTCTCCTATTAGAAGACCTTCTAGTTTTCTATTTAAAGACCTTCTGGTTGCTGCAAAGGAATTTTCCTCAATTATGTTACAATGGCCTTCATTATATCGAAATAAATTCCAAGCAGAGAACTTTACGCAATTTACGGTCTCGCACATTCCTAGCAACATATTTCATAACGCCCATGAAAGTATGAGCCTTATGGTTGTTGTTGTGTCGTCCCCATTGTTGACAAGTGGAGTCCTTTCATCATTAACATCTGTTTGTTCTACGTTTCCTCTACAACTCCAATGCCCTTTCCAGTATCCAAACCCCTCCAAGCGATCTTCCACAGTTAACCATGTTTTTATATATAGGTACGGTATATAAGTTAACGCTGTTTATATAATTGCCGTATGTGCGTCTTACCCTGTTGTTGTTATTGTTTTCAAATGAATTATATAAAACACCAAGAAGGATAAAGAGAGCGAAAAAAATCCTATTTTCCTCCATAAAGGATAATCATCCGGTGGTGTTCTATTATGATTATTGCGTTGTTTTGTAACACTTCAACGCCGACAGAAAGACACACGCACACCAACAGATATACAATTACATCTGTGCTGTTTTGTTTCCCTCCTCCCCCACTATCCCTTATCTCTGTTGACCATTTTTGGGGTGCGAGGCCATAAATAAATGCTACGCAATTTTTTGCCAAAGATCTAAAACCCCCCCTCTCTCTCTTTGTCTCCTCCCCCTCTACTTTTGTCTACATTTGCCGGTTAATATTTCTCTATTCCAATTTTTCGCCAGAAAAACAAATGCCGCATATGACCAAGAAATATATTTTGCGACTGCTCCTGAGCGACATCATCAGGAGTTTGGTCGTTGTTTTTACCGACAGCCGGCTTGGCTGTGTTGTCGCATCTCGTAATGACAGCTGCAACAACAACCAAAACACTCCATTTCTCCATCTCCTGATTTGCATTTTCCATATCCATATGCCGCCTTATATCTGGATATGTATGTCGTCCATTTCGTCCTAGTGATGTTATGACAAAAACAACAATAACAACATCAACACCAGTCTGTCCGTCCGTCCGTCTAATTTTCCAATCTCCAATGTTTTGGTATAATACCATGGTGGGTGGGTGGTTAATGGGTGAGATGCTCAACGGAGATACACAAATGTTTTGGACAAAACACACCCTATCTCTCGTACGCTCTCTTTGTCTGAAGAGAGCGGGTGAACTTTGCCAGATTGCTGGAAGAGACCAAGAAACAAATTTTTAGTCAAATCGATTTAAAATTCGACCAACGATAACTAATATCCTAAAAAATACATTTGTATGAGGGCTATACCGAAACATGGACCTATGTTGATAACACTGTGGGACAATATGCAAGCTTTTACATACGTATAGGAAAAATCCTCTAAATTATAATAGTAGAATTACGAATAGAAATTTACCCACAGTAGAGTTTTGTGAAGCATAATTTTGTAGAATATTTTGTCCTGCACGGATTTGTAATGCAGAATAGTCATGATATTTCGACTTACTGGTCATGCATATGTTCCTACCAAATGTTTATTGGGAATATATTATCGAGCCTTTCATTTCGCTTCCTAAACAGCAAGATATTCTCTTTCTTCTGGGTACCCTGTACATGGCCCACTCCTTGCTGAATACTTTCATTACCCCCACAGCCAAAACTCGAAATTGAATTTATGTCAGTTATAGCGGAAATATGCCTTATATGGCAGATGTAAACACTTGCCAAAGAGAAGAGCATCAAATTTTCTCTTCTCGCATCTAATATTTCCGGTGATTTGTCGGAAGTACTTCCTACTCATACCATTACCAATTCAGGGGAGTATTGTTGTTGAGATATTTACCGGTGGGTATTGTGGTACATGCGCATGACGTATGTACGAATCTCCCACAATCTCCCAAGAGAGATAATAGAAATTGTTATGATAATACGACGAGTTGCCAGATGTACGAAAAATATATGGGAGACAAAACAAGGTGTTCTATATATATAGAGGACCACTAAATAAGGTCGCATATGTAAAGAAGACATATCTATTTTTATAATGTATCATTATTATTTTCATACCCTCTATGGTTGAGGGCCCCATGCAGGGTATATTAAATTTGACATTCCGTTTACGACCGGAGAAAAAATTTTCGTTGGAGATCTTCAAAAATTTTGTATATTCTTGATCCGCGTAACATTTGAATTCGATTTAGCGATGTCCCTGTGACCGTCTGTTTAAATCACGATAGCGACCACGTTATTTAATCTAGAGCTTTGGCACAAAGGTTTATACATGGTTGTCCAAGTTCAACGGACCCATCTGGCAACGCCATAACTTTTGACAGAGATGTCACATCGCTTAATGACATACCGCGTTTGAAGCGTCAGTCCAAGCAGATTTTTACCATGCACAAATACACGCCACGCGAGCGCTCTGAAATAGTTGAAATTTACATTCATCAGAAGAAGTCAATTGTGAAAACTCAACGTGCTTTTAAAACATTAAAAAATGCGAGAAGTGCGCCTTCCAAGAACACCATTAAGCGTTTATATGAAAAATTTTCGACCGGTAAGGCTCTTTCTAATCCGAAGAGGCCATATAAAAGTCGACCAAGGCGATCGGCCGAGAATATCGCTGCCGTACGAGCCAGTGTTGTGAGGTCTCCAAGAACATCCCAAAAACGCCGTTCTCAGCAGTTGGGCATGGCTCGGTCCACTTTACAACGGATTATTCGCATTGATTTGCATTTGTTCCCGTACAAAATTTAATTGACGCAAAGAATGATGCCTACGGACAAGCCTCGTCGATTGGAATGGGGCCAAAGAGTCATGGGTCCGTCGAATATGGATAACCCTGTATAATATGCAGGCTGATTGGTATTGAAAATGGGCTTTATAGGTCCACGTTTCGGTATAGCCCCATACAACAGTACCTCTTGATTTTCGGTATTCCGCCACAATTTCCAACCAAACTAGCTGAAACTTGACAATTGAGGTTCCTGGTAGGTCTGTTCTCCTCCCGTAACAAATATTCTCTACAGGTCCACTAATTGTATAGCACCTATATAACGGTACCTCCCGATTTTCGGTATTTTGAAGGTTTCTGCCGAGATTTCTAACCAAATCAGATCAAACTTGGCAATTAGGGTTCTCGATAGAATTGTTCTCATCCTGCTAAAAATATTCGTTACAGGTCCACTAATTGGTATGGCCTCCATATAACGATCCATCGCGATTTTCGGTATTTTGAGGATTTCCGCCACAATTTCCAACCAAATTAG